TTGGATGGTGGTGGCACATACCTTTAGTTCCAGCACCCTGGAGGAGGAATCAAGCAGATCTCTCTGAGTTTGAGGTCAGCCTGGTCTACAAAGAGAATTCCAGGACAGTTAGAACTATTACACAGGGAAACCCTGTCTCGAGAAACAAACAAATAAGCAAATAAACACACACAAAAAAAGATATTCAACAAACTCATTTCAGTTAACATCTTTAACTACCTGTACATATGGTGGTAAATTAAGCTAAACATGGGACAATTGTAAGCTTCGACATTTAGTTAAAATAGTATTAAGAGACTATGAGAACTACAACATACTGAAGGGAGCAGAATAATCTGGCTGTGTTATTCTGCCCTTAGGGAAATGCCAGGATGTTTCCATCCCCAGGTCAGATGACCACCCGCAGCCACGACACTTTTGCTAAGTCATGGCAAAGTTTTAATGGAAGCCAACGGCCCTTACACACAAGCTGTCCGCCTGAGGCAGGCAGGGAGGATGCCACAGAAAGATGTGTCACTAGCATGAGGGTCAAGCAACGTGGCGGGGAATGCTGTGCAAACTCTCTCTCCTTGAGGCTCGGAGCGCTGGCTGCTTGCTTTTAATTCCAGTTAGAGGTTCTGTGCGGCTTCCATGTGTGGTAAACAGCCCCACAGGGACAGTCTGTTCTGGTTGGGGGTTCTGGGGATGCACCTATGGGTGATGTAAGAAGGGAACCATGGGTGGCATGCCCTGGCATTTGGGAGGCTTAGTTTAAAAACGCCGGAATCCCAGCCCATATCAGAAGCTCTGCAGACACCTGTTGGCTTCTTTCAAGTTTGTGAAAGTCGTTTCCTCTTAACTCACCACATGGGGAGAAAGCTCCCAAGTCATTCAAGTGCCGGGATCTCCCTAAACTCCACTCTGGGTCAGTTTGTTGAGGAATTTCTGAATTGTTAGCAGTACCTACATTCATGTAACTCCCAAGCCGCTGCCACCATGAGCACCCACCCGCCTCACTCCACCCTTCCCCTGGAACCAAGTGCTAAGGAAGACCCTCGTAGGCTCTGGCACGTGCTGGCCGTGTGCCCTTGCACACATTTCTGCCTGCCTCTGTGTCTCGGCACGGCTCCCAAAATGTGAAGGCTGGCTGCAGCACTCTGTGTGTCTGCCCGTCTGCTTGTGAGGAACAGTGCTACTGACCAGACCCTCGGACATTAGCTCTCCAGTGACTGGTATAGGCTTGGAAGGAAGAGACATTTCTATATACCCCGAAATGTAAAGAACTTAGGGTTGTATACACAGCAAGCATAGCTACCCGCAGGCTTCATCTGGCCCTGTTAACCTAAAATAGGGAAGAAAATGACCACTGACTCAAATCATCGTGGCCAAATTAACTAAAGCAACCTTTTTCATTTGTGTACAGGGACTGCCCTCTGCCTAAGGCAGGGCTTGAGATTGGATTTGAAGAAGACAAGGCTTTTAAAGCTCAGGGACAGGGGGTTTCAAGTGGGGAATTTGGTGGGCAAACAGGCAGGGTTGCAGGAGCAGAATATTAGCATAACAAGTGAGTCACAATGACCTCCTGAAACAAAGATGTGGCTGCAAGATGGACACAGCAAGGCTGTCAGTCATCCGTGGTCATAGAAACTTCTGAAACAAACGTAGGGTTGTAAGGTGGTTGTAAGCAACTTTTTGAAACGAAGACACGATTGCCATTCCTGGAACATGCAGTACAGAACCATTTGTAGTTAAGGTTACAGGTGGAGCACAGCCCAGTCCGTGAGAAACAGAGGTTTAACCATAAACAGGAGCGAATCTAGCTTGTCCTTACTATACACTGGCTTTTCAGCCTGAAATGGAGGCGGGGCACATCTTCCCCTTACTGCCTCATTTGCTGTTTGAGTTTGTCTTTCAGACTCACAGGCCCCCTTTCCCTCCCGCATCCTCTCTTCTTTCCCGTTTGCTGTTTGCGTTTGTTTGTTTGGTTTGGTTGGGGGCAGTGTTTCATAGAGCCCAAGCTGGCTACAAACTGGGGGGCACGGAGAATCACCTTGAACTTCTGACCTCTGCCTCTGGACTGCCCCAGCCAGCTCCGTTCTCTGATTCTTTAGCACCTGCTTGCATGGGGTTCCATCTTGACCTCCAACTTCCAGCAGGCAGGACTCTGGCTCAGTCCCCAGAATGCACACGTGCTATTCATCCTAGCAACCTAGTTTTGGGGAATTGCATAAAAACAGAGAAGCTGCCTCCCCCCAGTTTTGCACATTGCCAAGCTCTCACAGCACACACAAGGAGTGTATGAGGTGGTGAAACACACCACCCCTTCCACTGGGAAAGCCCTGCCTTCAGTAGCCGGTCTCACTTGGGGTCACCCTGGGAAACAAAGTCGGGAATGTGAGCCTCAAAGTTAGGTTTCATGGAGACAATGCTCACCCAGGAGATGCTGGGAGGTTGCTTAGGAGACAAGGCGGCTCTAACAACCGAGTTAGAACAGTAAATAAAATTGCCATCTGTTGAGTTCTTAATATGGACCAGGCACCATGCCAAGCATTTCACAAGTGTTAGCTATCTCCTTTTTAAACCTGCTTAAATTGTGGAATAAAATACTCCTCAATTAAAGTGTTCAAAACAAACGCATGGTATAATGAACAATCACAGGGCAAACGTGTGCAATTAACCCCAGGGTCAAGACGGAGCATCCCAAGCACTGGAGAACTGACTGCTGGGGAGGGTCACTGAGGGCCCTCCCTCTCCTTTCAGAGAAGCCCTGCTATGATTTCACGTCAGTCACACAGGGTTTCTCTGTGTAGCCTTGGCTGTCCTGGAACTCGCTCTGTAAACCAGACTGGCCTCGAACTCACAGAGATCCGCCTGCCTCTGCCTCCCAGAGATCTACCTGTATCTCCCTCCCGAGTGCTGGGATTAAAGGCGTGTGCCACTAGTGCACCAACATGGATCTCTTGTCTTTGAACTTTTCTCAAATATGTGAATGTTGTAACTCAGGCAAATCTGGCTGTGCCTCTCACACACCTGGACGTGGCAGGTGCATGCACCCTGGCCCTTTAAAGGAAAGGCTCCACCCAGGTCTCCTGTTCCCTCTGTTCCTCTAGAGGGCAGACAGGGCCTTTCCTGTCCACCCCTTCTCTTCTGTCCTGTCTCTGTATCTTATTTCCTTACCTCCCCCTCAATATGAGTCATGTCTACGTCTGTTTTCCCATCCGCCCACCGTCCATCACCCACCTTGGGACATTGATCCTTGAGGTCCCAGTGACGGAAAATAAAAGCTAAATCGTTGGTAGCTTAGTTTTGCATCTAGATGCTATGTTTTCTTGGGGGTTGCTGGGGATTGAACCCATCGTCTTGCATGTTCCAGGCAAGCAAAAGCTCTACAATTGAATTATCATTAAAATTTATTTGTTCTGTAGTTAATGGATATTTACTTGTTTCCAGATTGAGGCTGCCACCAGCACTAAAATCACGGGTAGACTGTTTATTCTGTCATTCCTGAGAATTTCCTCTTAGACACTCATTCCAAACAATATGGAATGTGCATCTGTTGTGTTGTTAGATGATGCTGTGGTCTCACAGATCTCCAGTAGCGGCAGCTAACTCCCCATTGCCGACCCCGACATTGGCATCATCAGATTTTGCAAAGCTGATCAATGTGGGTCCTATTTAGCTATAGGTTAACTATTGATTTTAAATACACTTATGTTATCAATAAGCTATTAATATGAGTTCATATTGTTGTTGCCTCTTTTGCTTGGTGTTGTACAGGTGGCTACAGATGAATGACTCTGCTTTCCTTCATTAATGAGGCTCTGTTAATGCCTTTTCTGTCAGAAGGTCAGGCTTTCTGCCTGCTCCTTTTGGAGTTTGGTCTTTTACTTTCTGTTTGGTAAGAGGTTCTTCTCAGTTCCCATTCTGGACACCCATTCTCTATGGTTTTGTATGACAGAATTTCTTCCATTTTCATGCAGCTCCTTGATTCTAATAATGGACATAGGAGCAAATATTACCAATATAGCAGTCTCTCTGAGAGAACAACTTTAGTGAGAACTTTCCAGTCTGCTACACTCAGGAGTGAGGCCATCTGCCCTTGCCAGTGCTCCCAGGCCCTCAGCCCCACAGAAGCGTCCCGGAAGCACCTCTCTTCCTCTTCTTCCTTCCTTCCTTTGGCTTCTCTCATTCCCCTGCCTATCTCTGGACCCTGTGACTCCCAGCTTCAAATGCCACCCTCTCTAATTCTCTTCCCACCCTCACGAAGGAGTTTTGTGGGGCACTGTCCCTTCCTACACAGGCTTCCAGGTCACAGGACACCACGGCTCGGATGCTCTTCTGGGTGATCAGCGTAGATGGGTGGCAGTCCCTTGGCCAGAGCCTGTGGATGTGGGTGTAGGCACCAGGGCTGAGCTCTGTCTCAGAGCAGGTCCCTCCCAGAGCTCTGCCTTTGCTCAAACCTTCCCAACTCCTCATCCTCTCCTTGTTGTCCCTGTGACAGCCCCTCTCTGCCCTGCTTTCCACATCACCTCACTTCCTGCCAAGCCCACTCAAGCATTCGGGCAGCATCGATAACTCTGCAGTCTCCCCTCCCCACTTCTTCCTATTACTGGTCCAGCCATCTCCATCTGTCTTTTGGAACCCCCAAGATCACTGCCTCAGTTGACACTGAATCCATCTCCCCTTCTTCCTGGTCCAGAGGGTCAGCTGGTCAGGTTGTGTTTCATGTATCCTTCAGGAATGAAACTTGGAAGGTGTTGGGAGCTGTAGCCTCCTCCCTCTCATTCCTGCCTTGCTCTCTGCCCAGTCTGGCTGCAGTGTCCTTCTCACAGGGTCTTTGCACACAGCCTGCACTGCCAGGGACGCCCTGGCCACCCTCACCAGAGCTCAGCAATTCTAGTCTCTAATCAGAGCCAAGTTTTGTCAGCTTTCCACACTCACGATCCCTGTTTGCCCAGGAAATGTGTGCACAACTCATAGTACACAGGTCTATAAAATCTGTATACAAACCAAGCACTATGGACAATAAATCATAAAGAAATTTATATTAAAGCAATTCTTTAGTGTATATGCAATTTTATAATATATTAAAGACAGAAACAAATGTGCATATTAATTATACATTGTACTTGCTTATTTTTACATAAATGAATCAAATCTTGGTTAAATATTTGATATGTGGGACCTACAGCACCTCTAACATCTTTTCGGGTCAATATTTTGATTTTATAACTGTCAATACTGAGAATGTTGCTTCTCATAAATAAATAGTACAAAATGTTAGGAGTGTGACTGAAGCATTTGAGAATTATTAGAGATTCTGTCCTAATCCCACACCAGAATTCACTGAATGATTTCTATGAAACTCAAATCAGCAACCCAAGCAGCAGTTCTTAAAATCAAACTTTCTAACATAAAACGAGCAGTAATGGTACTTCATACCCATGTGCTGAGGGATGACAGCACGGAAATATTCTTGATTTTCCACAATTCAACCCTGATGTGTCTGTAAGAGCAGAAAAATTTGTGTGAACATCGAAACACTATCATTTATGGCAATTGTAGCTCAAATCTGAGTCTAGCAGATTCCAGCAGGAACATCGGAGCTGCGTGATGTCACAGACGTGTGGGTGTCACATTTGGAATGAGGACTTGTGATGCAGCTCCTGTGAGTGCTGTCAGAAGCACCTTTGTTTGTGGTAGAATCACTTTGTGGTTGTTGTACATTCAGCGACCTTTTACTGTGGCCAACGTCTTTGAGGCCTCCAAATTTAGTCATATGATACACACTCAATGAGGGCTTGGACCAATCCACAGGAGGCTGATTACTGTTGGCAGAGGTAAAAATGATTCACTTAACAAGCTTTCATTCTCATCAGACCGACACAGATAACCATGGCTGACATCGTGGTAGCTAAGGCTATAGGACACGGCGTTCACCTCAGTCCTTCACTCAACTACGGTCTTTATTAAACTACTCAACCCCCTTTGACCCACATTTCACTTCTATGAACTTATCCTTTAAAAATGTATTCACAGGCTACATAAAGACACACAGAGTAATATTCTTACGTATTGTTTACAACACAGACCTACCAAGATGACCACAGTTATATTGCCGTGCATTCATAGCATGGAATATTACTCAGCCATGAAAAAGAAATGTGTGTTTGTGTAAGGAGGATCGTCATGACACACTGAACTAAAAAATGAATCCAGAAGACTGTGATTTTATATTCTAGTTACACTTTTAAAAGTTGAAGAAACAAACTAACCTGCTGACTGGCTTCTCCGGAGAGGGAGGTCGTGGAACAGTTTTCTATACTTTTCTTCTTTTTGAGACATGATTTCTCTCTGCTGCCTTAGTGGAATAGCTTTCCATACTTTTCTTTCCTCTTTCTGGGGCAGGATTTCTCTGTGCTGCCATGGTTGTCCTGAAGCTCACTCTGTAGACCAGCTTAGTTTCAAACCTAGAGATCTGCTTGCCTCTGCCTTCTGAGTGCTGGGATAAAACTTGTGTGCCACCATTGCCCAGCTACTTATGCCTCTGTAATGATTTTTTTACTGTTTTACTACTAAAAATAAGATCATAACTTAAAACTTTTATTATAGTAAAAAATAGTAATTACACAACACACCTGCTTCGTCCCCTGGGGGAAGTTCTGAGGCCACCTACAGAATACTCACTGCTATTTTCCCAGAGCCTACTTGGTGTCGGGAACTGACAGGTGTTCATCAAGCACTTATTAACTACTGAAAAGGTCAGCAGACGGTCTGTCTCTGTGATAAACTGCTCCTCAGTCACAGCTCTGGGAGCAGCACACTGGCCGCTGCCTTGAGGTGTACTCTGTTCTTGAAAGCGGTTCTGGTAGGTCACCTTTGCTGGCAGCTTTGTTACATCCCCCTTTGTTACATCCCCCTTGTTACATCCCCCTTTGTTACATCCCCCTTTGTTACATCCCCCTTTTTGCTGAGCTTTGGGGCCTTTGTACAGTTATTGCACTCAATGTGTGTTCCATTTCTCACTTAGGAAATAATTTTGTTCCAAGTTGCCAGCAAAGTGTAAAGCCCAAGCCACGACTCTAAATTCCAAATAGTCCTCCCAGCTTTCTGCCTCCCACGTTCTTGATCAAGAGCTACAGGTTAGTCCCATGGCAGAACACAGACAGACAGATAGACAGGAATGTGTCCAGCTCTACCACTCCACCACAGCCTTTGCACTGACAGCTCCTTCGCCTGAGAAAACTCACTCCAGCTGGCGAGGCTGTCTTGATACAAGGGTCTGGACCTCAGGACAGCCCACCTGAAGGCTACCCTCCTCCCTCTTCTGCTTTCTCCACTCCCCTCACTCTCCTGCCCTCTTGAAAACATTATTACAACAAAGGGTACATGTTAATTCTTCCTGTGTGGTTTGAGTAAGAATGGCCCCCACAGCCTCATAGATTTGAATGCTTTGTCACCAGGGAGCAGAACGTTTCAAAAGATTAGAAGGATTAGGAGGTGTGGCTTTGTTGGATGAAGTATGACACTGGGGGTGGGCTTTGAGGTTTCAAAAGTCCACACCAGGCCCAGGCTTGCATGCTCTCTCTCTCTGTCTCTCTCTCTCTGTCTCTCTCTCTCTGTCTCTCTCTCTCTGTCTCTCTCTCTGTCTCTCTCTCTCTCTGTCTCTCTCTCTCTGTCTCTCTCTCTCTGTCTCTCTCTCTCTGTCTCTCTCTCTCTCTCTCTCTCTCTCTCTCTCTCTCTCCCTCCCTCTTTCTCTCTCTGCCTAGGATCAGCTGCTGTCAGTTACTGCTATGCTTGCTGCATGGTCCCCACCATGACACCATGATGGCAATGGACTAAACTTCTGAAATTGTAAACCAGTCTCAATGAAATGTTTTTCCTTTCTAAGAGTTTCCTTGGTCATGGCGTCTCTTCACAGCAATGGAAGAGTGACTAAGACACTTTCTAGTATTACCTGCTCCCCACTCCCATCCCAGTGCTCCTGGGCTGTAGCTGCCTCTCAGAGCCAGCAGCTTCAAGTGTTTCTGTATGCCATTTTTACACCGCTCTTGACCTGTATACACACCCTCATAAAATCCCCATTTCTCTCTCCCATTGGGTGCACAGGACAACAGTCAATGCCTAAGGCACTAACCCAGGGCAGCCACTTGAATCACCCTGCAAAGGCTTCCTTGTGTAATAGAACATTCAACCTTCCGAGGGTCAATTGATTGCACCTGATGTTTTCAGGCCACCAGAGAGGTCGCCGGTAGCTCTGGAAATCCCTTTGCAGGATGAAGACATGCGCTTTGAGCTCTGTTTGCCTCTCTCCAGCAGGGCCAGCCTCACAGAAGAGCATGACACTTTGTGACTGAGTGTGCAGAGCGGGTGCTGCTGTCTCCTTTCTCCCAGCTCCAGCCTCCAGAAAAGAAAGAAGCTCAGGGCCCCAGCCCCCTAAGGGCCCCAGTCACCCCTAAGTAGCCCTGACCTCTCAGAAACCACAGGAAGCTCCGGATGAGAGGCTGATACTTCACATGCTGTCAGCGCCTCCCAGGGTCTCTGATGAGTGCCAGGCAAAAGAAGGCTTACAGGGCCATTCCCCTGCTGCAGAGCATGCAGTGCTATCTTGGAGTCTAAGCAGGCTGGGCTGCAGTGTGGTCAGCCCTTCCACTTTCATGATTCCAAATAGGAATATGGATAGGGAGAGACTGAATTTTGCTTCTCCCAAACAGTACACAGTGCATAGGACAGAGGGGCGGTGCACGGGGGAGGGGGCGGTGCACGGGGGAGGGGGCGGTGCACGGGGGAGGAGGGCGGTGCACGGGAGAGGAGGGCGGTGCACAGGAGAGAGGGGCGGTGCACAGGAGAGAGAGGGGCGGTGCACAGGAGAGAGGGGGGGCGGTGCACGGGGGAGGGGGCGGTGCACGGGAGAGGAAGGCGGTGCACGGGGGAGGGGGAGGTGCATGGGAGAGAGAGGGGCGGTGCACAGGAGAGAGGGGCATGCACGGGAGAGAGGGGCGGTGCACCGGAGAGGGGGGCGGTGCACAGGAGAGGGGGCGGTGCACGGGAGAGGGGCGGTGCACAGGAGAGGCGGTGCACAGGAGAGAGGGGCAGTGCATGGGAGAGAGAGGGGCGGTGCACGGGAGAGAGTGGGGCAGTGCATGGGAGAGAGAGGGGCGGTGCACAGGAGAGGCGGTGCACAGGAGAGAGGGGCGGCGCATAGGAGAGAGAGGGGCGGTGCACGGGAGAGAGAGGGGCGGTGCATGGGAGAGGGGGGAGGTGCACAGGAGAGAGGGGCGTGCACAGGAGAGGGGGGAGGTGCACAGGAGAGAGGGGCGTGCACAGGAGAGGCGGTGCACAGGAGAGAGGGGCGGTGCATGGGAGAGAGAGGGGCGGTGCACGGGAGAGAGAGAGAGAGAGGGGCGGTGCATGGGAGAGAGAGGGGCAGTGCACGGGAGAGGGGCGGTGCACAGGAGAGAGGGGCGTGTACAGGAGAGAGGGGCGGTGCACAGGAGAGAGGGGCGTGTACAGGAGAGAGGGGCGGTGCACAGGAGAGAGGGGTGTGCACAGGAGAGGGGGCGGTGCACCGGAGAGAGAGGAGGTGCACGGGAGAGAGAAGCAGAAGCGGCACGGGAGAGGGGGCGGTGCACGGGAGAGGAGGGCGGTGCACAGGAGAGAGAGGCGGTGCACAGGAGAGAGGGGCGGTGCACGTGAGAGAGGGGGCGGTGCACAGGAGAGGGGCGGTGCACAGGAGAAGGGGCGGTGCACGGGAGAGAGGGGGCGGTGCACAGGAGAGGGGGCGGTGCACAGGAGAGAAGGGCGTGCACGGGAGAGGGGGCGGTGCACGGGAGAGGAGGGCGGTGCACAGGAGAGAGGGGCGGTGCACAGGAGAGAAGGGCGTGCACGTGAGAGGGGGGCGGTGCACGGGAGAGGAGGGCGGTGCACAGGAGAGAGGGGCGGTGCACGGGAGAGAGGGGGCGGTGCACAGGAGAAGGGGCGGTGCACGGGAGAGAGGGGCGGTGCACAGGAGAGGGGGCGGTGCACAGGAGAGAAGGGCGTGCACGGGAGAGGGCGGTGCACAGGAGAGAGGGCGGTGCACGGGAGAGAGGGCGGTGCACGGGAGAGGGGCGGTGCACAGGAGAGAGGGGCGGTGCACGGGAGAGAGGGGCGGTGCACGGGAGAGGGGCGGTGCACAGGAGAGAGGGGCGGTGCACGGGAGAGGGGCGGTGCACAGGAGAGGCGGTGCACAGGAGAGGCGGTGCACGGGAGAGGAGGGCGGTGCACAGGAGGTCCTGCCTTCTGAACCTGACTTCCTGCTGTCAATACCATGTGAATCCTTTTAGCCACCATCCTTGCTCCACAATCCCTTACCCAGCAGCACCCAGAGGATCTTGGTCTCTGGTCCTAGTCCTGGGGTTCTCTGAGGACAGAGGCAGGCTGCCCACATCAGGATTGCCTGGGTTTCTTACAGGCTCAGCTTGGTTCTCGAGGCTTCCATTCCCTCCCCATGCAGGAAAAGGGGCAGATAAAAGGGGATGGTGTCTGTGACTGGCAAGCAGATTGTCATGGGATCTGGAGGTGGTAGGAGTCTCTCCCTGTGCCTAAGGGTAGACAAGGAGGCCCAAGGGCCCAGCAGGGTGTCCATGAATGGCTTACCCCAGAGTCCAGGTGCAAGTTTGGTTCTAACAGAACTGGCTGGAACTGGTCATGCATTTGCCCCAATTATCCTCTTCTGCAGTGCAGAAATTGCCGTAAGATACAGAAACGCCATACCACGCGGGAAGCTACAGTAAGCTGAGGCTACAGTAAGTGAGGCTATATTGCTGGTGGTGGCTTTGCGAGTGTATAAAGCCTGTATAAACCTCATCAATGGACAACATGGGTCACTGCATGAAACCCACAAGCTGACCTTCCCAGTGTCCGTGCCAGCCTTCCCCATGAGAGGCACACAGCTTTCTGGTACAGAGAAAAAGATGTACAAATCCATTCTTCCTTGCAGCTGATTTTTCTGTGTGCTTCCAAAGAGACTAAATGCCTTCAGAGAGATTTATTGACCCACAGAAACGGGAACAAAAACCAAGCCTTACCTCATCATGATGCCCAGGCTGTGACCTTTGAAAATGGCGCTCTAGGGTTTGAATGCATCAGGCAAGACTCTGACAATTCCACAGGTTACTTCTGTTAAAAATGCGGTCCTCTAAAAAAGGATATAACTAGGCTGGGTGATGGTGGCCTTTAAGCCCAGCACCTGGGAGGCAGAGACAGGTAGTTTGGGGCCAGCCTGATCTACAGAGCAACTTCCAGGATGGCAAGGACTACACACAGAAACCCTATCATGAACCCCCTGCCCCACAAAGTATATAACTAGCCCACTTGTGGTGCCCACCTGTAACCCCAGCCTTTGGGAGGCTGGGGCAGGAGGATTACAAATTCAAGGCCCTGTCAATTCTGTGAGCCTCTACAGACATACAGAGAGAGCAGGACTTGGGGCTCAGTGGCAGAGTATTTGCCTGGAATGTGTGGGACCTGGGTTCAGTCCTCAGCACTACAAAACAAAAACAAAACATTAAAAAGATTGATATAGCCCAGATCATGGGAAAACAGGAAATCAGACACATTTCAGCAAATTTTAGCAATTTCAAAAACTTAAATTCATATTCCCTTCATTGGTAATTTCATTTGCAGAAAAATCTCTAAAAAACAACTGGGGGGGGGGTGGCAGGTGTGGTGACTCACACCCGTAATCCCAGCAAAAGGATTGCTACACAGCCTGAGGCCAGCCTAGGGCCACTTAGTGAATTCCAGGCCATCTTGGACTATAGACTAAGACTGTCTCAAAAAGAAAATAAATAAATTAAATAATCAGAGATATTAAAAAAGATTAGCTACACCAAACATTCATTATAACTGTTAATAACACAATTGGGGACGAGAGACGTACAGCTCAACAATAAACACTCACTGGAATGCTGTGCCGTGATTGTTTAAAAAGCCATTTATTAGCCTACATTAACTATGATGTATATAGATTTAAATATGTGAAAATATTTAGTATGTTTATATTCATGGTCATATATGCAGCTATGGATTACCACAGTAAGTAAAGTATCTTGGTTTGCAGAATGGTGATCTAAACATCTATAAACACGATTGACAGGCAGAGAGATATTGTGAGGATAGCAATTCATTAACAACACATCAAAATTATAACATTCATTTTCTAGGTTGATGATCATTTATATGCTTGCCTTTTTTTCCTTTGGAATTTCCTTTTGCAATAATTGCTGTCTATGTAAGAGGGATGCGCCAACCACCTCAGAAAGGCAGGAAGTGACTCTGGCAAACGCTCTTTAGTGAGGCATTTCTGTGGCCAGCGATATCTACAGAATAAACAAAAGAGTTATCACTCAGAATTGGAGTTGCTATAGAATTACCCTCTGAACTAAAATGCTTCTGGGTGTGCAAGGAGATGTTAATTCTGCCACTGGTTTGACTAGCATAGGCCTCTTTGGCATCTGAGACTCTTGGTTACCTACCCTGAATGAATGTTGCCTTCTCTCTTTCTAGGAATGCCCCAGGGACACTTCCATGGGGCCACTGAGATTTCTGTCACTATAATGTGGCTGTTACTTAGTGTGAGCATCTCGAAAAACCCATCTTTCTCACCTCGGATCAGCACAGCCCTAGCTTTAAGATTTCTTCTTGAAAGAAGTGATATTTCTTTTGAGACAGGGTCTCATGCATCCCAGGATGACCTTGAACTCCTGTGTGGTTGAGGAGGACCCTGAACTTCAGGTGTCACCAAATCTGTCCATGCAGTGTTGGCACTCTCGCCCGTGGCCTTCTGCACGACTGGGCCTCATCTGCAGCCCCTTGAAGGTGGCGCTGTCCATGGAATCTTGTGCCCAAATGAAAGCAATGTATTCCCACCCGCATCACACTAATTCATAGTGCAATTGTCGTCAAGACGCCACAGACTCTCTCACCCCCATCTGGACCTCACTAAGGGCTAGATTTGGGGGAGCTACCATCTTTGTGTCCCCAGCTCCTTGTTAAGGCAGCCGCTCTTGGAAAATCGCCCACTGAAATGCTTTCCTGGCACTGCTCTGAGGTGGTGGTCCCAGGGTGGTTGCAGCCGCAGGGAAGGTGACTCCTGTTCTAGCCCAGTGTCAGGACTGATGCACAGCGGTCACTCCTTCCGGCCCATCTAGTCCACGGTGAGCCCGGGGATCACCTTCCAACTGGTGGAAGACAGTATGCACATTCCTGATGCCACCCCACTGCCATCTGCCAGGCATGTTGTCGTAAGAAGTCTGCGATGCTTGCCATGTGAGCCTCGTGGAGAGGACAGCTATGCAGAGCAGTGCGGCAGCACTGGGCAGGCGCCTGGCAACTAGGGCTGGGGAAACAGTGGAAGGCGTGTCCTTTGTAGATTTTCTATCATCACCCATGAACTGGAGATGCCTGCAGTGCGTGCTGTGCTTAAGCACCTAGCAGCTCTCCATTTGCAGTAGGAAAGAAATGGTCTAGAATGACGTCATATTTTTCTCTCTTTTTATTTAAATTAGAAACAATCTTGTTCTACATGCCAATCTCAGTTCCCTCTCCCTCCCATCCTCCCATGCCTTCCACCAACCCCTTATCCTGTTCCTATTCTGCTCCCCAGGGAGGGTGAGGCTTTCCATGGGGGATCTTCAAAGTCTGTCATATCATTTGGAGCAGGGCCTAGGCACTCCCCCTTGTGTCTAGGCTGACAGAGTATCCCTCTATGTGGAGTGGGCTCCCAAAGTCCATTCATATACTAGGGATAAACCCTGATCCACTACCAGAGGCCCCATAGATTGCCCAGGCCTCCTAACTGACACTCACGTTCAGGGGGTCTGGGTGCATCCCATGGTGGTTTCCTAGCTATCAGTCTGGGATTCATGAGCTCCCCCTTGTTCAGGTCAGCTGTTTCTGTGGGTTTCACCAGCCTGATCTTAACCCCTTTGCTCATCACTCCTTCTCTGCAACTGGATTCCAGGAGTTCGACCCAGTGCTTAGCTGTGGGTGTTTGCTTCTGCTTCCATCAGCTACTGGATGAAGGCTCTAGGATGGCATATAAGTAGTCATCAATCTCATTATAGGGGAAGAGCATCTAAGATAGCCTCTCCACTACTGCTTAGATTGTTAGTCGGTGTCATCCTTGTAGATCTCTGGACATTTCCCTAGTGCCAGATTTCTCTTTAAACTTATAATGGCTCCTTCTACTATGGTATCTCTTTTCTTGCTCTCCTCTCTTCTTCCCCTGACTCCATCTTCCTGCTCTCTCCTGTCCTCCTCTCCCCTCCTCTTCTCCCCTCCTCTTTCTTCTAACTCCCTCTCCCCTCCCCTCCATGCTCCCAATTTGCTCAGATCTTGTCCCTTTCCCCTTCTCTGCGGGACCATGTATGTCTTTCTTAGGGTCCTCCTTGTTTCCAAGCTTATCTGGTGGTGTGGATTGCAGGCTGGTAATCCTTTGCTCTATGTCGAATATCCATATATGAGTGAGTACATACCATGTTGGTCTTTTAGCAACTGGGTTACCTCAGTTTCTTCTAGTTTCATCCATTTGCCTGTAGAAAATTTCAAGATTTCGCCTGTTGTATTTTTTCCCACTGAGTAGTACTCCATTATGCAAATGTACATTTTTCTTTATCCATTCTTTGGTTGAGGGACATCTAGGTTGCTTCCAGGTTCTGGCTATTACAAATAATGCTGATATCAACGTAGATGAACAGATGACCTTGTGCATCTTTTGGGTATATACCTAAGAGTGGAATTGCTGGATCTTGTGGTAGACTGATTCCCATTTTCCTGAGTAATCTTCATACTGATTTCCAAGGTGGCTGTATGAGTTTACACTCCCACCAGCAGTGGAGGAGTGCTTCCCTTTCTCCACATTCTCTCCAGCATAAACTGTCATTGGTGTTTTTGATTTTAGCCATCCTGGCACGAGCATGATGGTATCTCAGAGTTGTTTTGATTTGCATTCCCCTGATGGCTAAGGATGTTGAGTGATTTCTTAAGTGCCTCTCAGCCATTTTAGATTTCTCTATTGAGAATTCTCTATTTAGTTCTGTGCCCACTTTTTCATTGAATCATTTGATGTTTTGGTGATTAGTTTCTTGAGTTCTTTGTATATTTTGGAAATTAGCTCTCTGCCAGATGTGGGGTTGGTGAATATCTTTTCCCATTCTGTGGGCTGCCATTTTGTCTTGTTGAGTATGTCCTTTGCCTTGCAGAAGCTTCTCAGTTTCAGGAGGTCCCATTTATTGATTGTCAATGTCAGTGTCTGTGTTATGTTCAGGAAGTGGGCTCCTGTACCAATTCATTCAAGGGTACCTCCCACTTTCTCTTCTAAGAGTTTCAGTGTGGCTGGGTTTATGTTGAGGTCTTTGATCCATTTGAACTTAAGTTTTGTGCATGGTGATAGAGATAGAGCTATATGCAATCTTTTACATGTCAGCATCCAGTTATGCCAGCACCATTTTTGAAGACATTTTCTTTTTTCCATTATATAGTTTTAGCTTCTTTGTCAAAAACCAGTTTGTCATAGGTGTGTGAATTAACATCAGGGTTTTCAGTTCAGTTCCATTGATCAACCTGTCTATTTTTGTGCCAATACCAAGCTGTTTTCAGCTTTATAATAGAGCTTGAAGTCAGGGATAGTGATGCCTCTGGAAGTTCCTTTATTGTACAGAGTTGTTTTGGCCATCCTGGGTCTTTTGTTTTTCCCTATAAAGTTGATTATTGTTCTTTCAAGGTCTGTGAAGAATTGTGCCGGCATTTTGATGGTGATTGCTTTTGGCAAGATTGTGGCTGTGTTCCCTTTTATTCCACAGGTACTTTCCAACACCATGATCCTAGTTGACTCCTCAAATGCTGTCCGAGAGAAGGATTTGGGTCTCCCTAGTAATGATGGAGTGTGACCAAAGCCGTTCACAGTGGCAAAGCTGTTGATGAGGTTAGGCATTCCCTGTCTGACACTGGCACCCAACATCAGGCTCTCTCCACTGTTGGGTCCCAGCCCCCACAGATTTCTGTGTATTGTTCGTCAGCTGATAGCCACAGGTATATCTTGCTCTCTAGTCTTGGCTTACAGCCCCGACCTTGCCTGCCTGAAATCAATATCTAGCACAAGGAAAACATGAGCTCTTATACCTGGGGCTTTTCCACTGTGATGTAAGCCTGTATATAAGCCTGAGAGAGAGAGAGAGAGAGAGAGAGAGAGAGAGAGAGAGAGAGAGAGAGAGAGAGAGAGAGAGAGAGAGATTAAAGATATTCAATGCTATATGGAAAGCAATATATTTATTTACCAGAGAGAGAGAGTCACACAAACCAGGAGTTAGAAGCGTGGCTGGCTTCCAAGAGAAAAAAGGGAGGTTCCTTTTCCTTTCACTTCCTTTTATATCTACCTGTGTCAGTTTACATGTCCCTGCCCTCATGGGTGGATAGCTTTGTGGGGTTCACTCCTACAGAGAGAGAGAGAGAGAGAGAGAGAGAGAGAGAGCAGACAGACAGACAGACAGACAGACAGACAGACAGACACAGAGACAGAGAGTTCTTAGCACTTGCAGAAAAGACATACACACACTCATTCTCTGGCAATGAAGGCAGCAGACACATTCTCTTAGCACAAACGGTTGGACGTCTTCTCTTTCATCTCCTGATACCTCGGACTTGCTCGAGGCATGGGCACCACACTCTATCTCACCTCCATCATTTTGTCTCATGGAGGTTGCCTTGAGTTCAGGAAAAAATGCTTATCAAGTTTAAGTTGGCTTCTACTAGATGTGGATAGAAAGCTCCCCTCCCCTCCACACTCTTGTTACAGTACTCCAACAGTCTCCAGACACAGTGACAAGCACTTCCAGGAGAAAGATAGCTGGACATACGGTGGCTGAAAAACCATGGCCCACAGGAGGACTAAAATGCCTGATACCAGCACCATACAGGGATGAGCTAGCCACACTCCACTACTGGACTAGTCCCTCTGCTCTGACTGCTTTGTGGTCTTAACTATTCAGGATCCTGTTCCCTGTCCAGTGACTAAACCCCAATTTTCACTGTCTGTGCCAGGGCCTGTCCCTAGAGGGAGTGTGGAGAAGACACGAGGAAAAGGTGTCAGGAGGTGCTGGCCGCTGGGCAGCAGCTGCCTCGGCCTCCCGGCAGAACCTCTTCTCACTGTGCTGTGCTGTCTCTTGCATAGGGCTGCTGTGAGAGCACTGGGTGCTCCTACCCTTCCTAAGTGTCACGTAGGCCCCATGGCCAGCTGTGACCAGGACTTTTCCTGAACAGCTAGAATCAGGAAACGAAATGGGAAGCAGAAAGCCTTCCAACTGGGCCCTGGGTGTAAATGACTCCGGAGCCACCCACAGATCACCCCAGCAGACCGTCTCCTGGCTGCTGAAGGCCTGACTGGAAGCCCCAGGCTCACGTGCATCTCTCCACTCCCTGTCCCCTCTTAGAGCCCAATCCTGCCTGAGGCCTGTTTCTGTCTCTCCTCTGGCCGTGGCCCAGCTTCTTCCATGTGGGATGCCTGGCAGGTGGGGCACGTCCACATCCCTCCCCTACCTTCTAATACCCAGGTCACAGATACTTAGTTTGGAAACCTACCTTGAGAGAGCCTTTGAGGAGACTCATGTTGGCTGTGGCTACTGGGCCTGTGTTTATGGGATACATTCAAAGGGGGTGGGGTGATGTCCCAAGAAGATGCTTGACAGGGCCTACTTCCACAATGACAGCTGTCGCAGGTCACACGCTACACTGACATGAAGATGGAAGAGTCTGAGTCCGTGCCGTGGGGCAATGAGAACGCGGCGGGCCAAAACCAGGAAGAAACGCTCACGTGATGGGCACAGAGGAGAGCTCAGACCTCGTAGTTCTGAGCACGTGGTGCTAAGGACAACTGGGAAAGACCAGAAATCAACCTTTTTGTGGTAGTTTGAAAGGAATATGCCCCATAACTCCATAATCTCACAGGCAGTGGCACTGTTAGGAGGTGTGGCCTTGTTGGAATAACTGTGGTTTTGTTGGAGGAAGTGTGCCACTAAGGGGTGGACTTTGAGATATTCAAAGCTCCTCAGTTCATTTCCTGTTGCCTGTGAATTAAGATGTAGAATTCTCAGCTACCTCTCCAGCACCATGTCTGCCAGCATGCTGCCATGCTTCCCACCATGGTGATAATGGAATAAGCCTCTGAACTGTAAGCTACCCCAATGAACTATTTTCCTTTATAAGAGTTGCTGTGGCCCTGGTGTCTCTTCTCAGTAATAAAACCTTAACTGAGACACTTTTAAATTTTGTTTGTGAGACAGAATTTTGCTATGTAGCTCAGGCTGTCCCAGAACTCGAAATCCTGTTGCCTCGGCCTCCCAAGGGTAACATTAATGTTTTGCCTTATATTATTCATCAAAAGTACTTGGATATCTAAATGTGAAACAAAAAACCTGCCAAGCATAAAGAGAAACTGTAGGAAAAGACTCACAACCTCGAGGACGGGCAGTTTCTTCAAGCAAGACACAAAGCAGAAGGCTGCGAGGAGAAGTCCCAAATACCTACGCTCTTTGGAAAAGATGATCAAAAGGAGAAAAGTGACAAGCTGAAAAATGGCACCATTTCCAAGCAGGCAGAAGTGCCGCGCGTCTGGAAGACACAAAAAATTCCTTCAAATCAACACAAAGGTCTCAAACTGCCAACAACAAATCAACAGACACAGTACTTCAAAGACTGGAAATAAAATGCACATTAAAAAATGCTCAAAAACACCCAAATTGAGAGAAATGCAAGCATATAAGACATGTTCCCCTCATATTGCCAGGAGCCAGCAATTTGAAACTGTTGAGCATTAATGAGGGTATGAGGAGAAGAGCACACTTCTACACAGCCACAGGGAGTCTGGACTAGTCAGAGCTGTCGGCAGGGCTATTAAAATGGAAAGTGCATGTACCTGGCAACTCTGGTTCTGGGTACAAATGCCCCCTCCTGTGCCCACAGAGCATGTAGCAAAATAAAAGTGGTCATCACCCTGTCTTTTGTAAAACCAGAACCCCAAAATGTCTATCAGTTAAGTGACAGCTGAGGGATCCCTGGACCATGGAATACTGTGCAGCAGTCATAAGGAATGAGGTATTCCACATGTAATGTCATGTAACAGTATATATGAAAACAGGAGGACCAGGAAATGACTCAGTGGGTAAAGGTTTTTGAGGATCTGAGTTAGATCTCCAGAACCCATCTAAAAAACCCAAGTATGGTGGTACATGCTTATATCTCAGTACTGGGGTGATGGAGATAAGTGGATCCCTGGGGCTTGGTGGGCAGCCAGCTGAGCCCAATCAGTGGGCCCTAAATGTCAATGAGAATCCCTGTTTTAAAAAACAAGTTGGGAAGCTCCTGAGAAACAGTGACTAAAGTGGGTCTCTATCCTTCACATACATTCATGTGTACACACTCCCAGACAGAAACACAGAAAAGAAACAAAAATCTGCAGGAAAAATGACCACACACAAACCCCAGTATCATCTATACCCACAATAAGAGATATGTCAGGAAATGTATTGAAAATGGCATGTGAAATGCCATCAGGTCTGGGGACAGGAAGTGGGCAGCATTCAGAACTGTCTAGGAGGCAAGCCTCCAGGCTCACCTGAGGTTGAAAGACCCTAAGTGTGGGCAGCATCATGGATGGGGGGTGGCCCCCACTCATAAACAGGACAAAGCCAGCTGATGAGGTTTTAGCCTGGCTCTTTTTCCTGGGTTTGACAGAGTGTGATCAGCTGCCTCATTTTCCTGCTGCCATACCTTCTCTGCCCTGAGAAACAAGTGCTCCCTTAGACTGTGAGCCACAGAAACCCTCCTTAGTTCCTGTTCTATTGTGATAGGACATCAAGACCAAGGCAACCCATAAAGTAGTTTATTTGGGGCTCCTGGTTGCAGAGGGCGAGTCCATGGCCATCATGGTGGGGAGCATGGCAACAGGCATGAACATAGAGGTAACATCCAAGAGCTCACATCTCGCGATACAACTGCGAGGCAGAGAGAGCTAACTGGGAATGGCTGGGCTTCTGAAATATCAAAGACCTCGTCTCAAAGTGACATACCTTCTTCAACAAGGACATAATCCTTCCCATACAGTTCCAGTTGGTGACCAAGTGTTCACAGAACCACAAAAGCCTTCCTTCCTTCAAGTTGCCTTGTCAGGTATGCTGCCACATCGAGAAGAGTAACTTATGCAGGAGGGGTAAGCCCCAAGGGGCTTGTAACAGGATGGTCTCTGTGACCTATCATTTCACTACCAGAAGCAAAACACTCTTGGAAGTCAATATTAAATTTCTTTTGTAAGAAACAAGATATTTGAAGACAAAAATAATGTGTAGAGATCCCATGCTGCTCTCTATTATGAGGCTTTGTCCTTGTGAGGCAAAGGCAACTTTGTTCCCAGTGGAAGAGCTCCTGCAGAGGGCTCACCGTATGCTGGGAGGGCTACCCTGTGCTGCCAGACCAGTAATGTTTGGCACAGAAGTGTCAGTGCTTCTTCTACTGGGAGCAATCACATCAGAGTGCTGGCGTCTTTCCAACTGCCAGCTGCTATTCACAGCATCTCATGCATCCTGACTAAAGAAACAGGCGGCCAGTGTGGGAGGCTGAAGACTGCCGTGAGGCCACACCGAATCTGAGGGCATCCTGGGCTATAGTGTGATATCCCATCTAAACAACAAAACAAAACAAACCAAAAACCAAAAGAAGACCCAAGTAGACAAAAACAAACAAAAAAACAATAATGCAGCAATTGAGAGAGAGAGAGAGAGAGAGAGAGAGAGAGAGAGAGAGAGAGAGAGAGAGAGAGAGAATATCATGGCAAACACATCTGATACATCAGGCCTTATGCCCAGGACTCAGCACCCCTTCCCGATTTCACCTAATACAGCGATCCAAGAGAACAGCAGCTTCGTTGCCCATTTAACAGATCAAGAAGTCGGGATTCAGCTGGATTTGGGATCTCAATCAAATGCCAACACTGCAATTGATGCCACTGATTTCAAACCCTTGATCAGACCACCTCCTCAATCTGCCTCCCCAACCACACTAAATAGTGAGGGTGGCTTCGCTTCAATTTGTACAACAAAACTCACCTTCTTTCCATTCAAATTAAGGGGTAAGGAAGGGCTGCTCCTGTGTGGCCCTGGCAAATGACAGTGGTGAGGAACAAGACAGGGTCCATCAGGACCGTCCACAGGGAGAAGAGAAGTCTTGTGCACACCACAGTGGTCAGGAGCCCAAGGGACTGAAGCCCAATGGCTCTGCTAGGAGCAGGGGAATTGTATGACAGATGACACATTCCCAAGAAGGCTGTCCTGCTCCGTCAGAATGCAGATGTCGTGGTTTCCCACACTTCACTTATCTAACAAGTCTGTGTTCATCCCAGACCCACTCACGGCTGGGGCTCTGGTGATATCAGTCAGCAAAGGCCTGGGATTCCTTTCTTCATATAACTGGTGCTCCTGGTATCTGTGTGTGTGTGTGTGTGTGTGTGTCCTGTGTGCGTGCATGGGTGTGCATGCGTGTGTAGGTCTTCCATGTTAGTCCTGTTTCTAATCTGCCACCAGACAGGAAAGAGCAAGGTGGGTGCTACACTTGTCTTTCTGATGCTGAAAACTCACAGAAAAACTAACTGTGTAGCAAAGTCCCCCCAACTTACCATGTTCAGGGAAACTTAGCAAGAAGAGTGGAAGACGGAACAGATGTGTTCACTTAAGTCAAGGAGCATCACACCATGCTGGGGACACTTCCTCCGAATGGAACATGGTGTTCTTTTCCTAGCTGCCTCCAGTTAACTCCCAATCATGGTCCTAGTAGGACACAGCTAAGTCACATCCCACACTCTCACACACACACACAGCCGAAGCCTGAGTGGCCCCCTTCCCTTGGCAAAACCAGACCTCAGCTTTGCAATCCTTTGAAATCCTTCCCAATTTCCAAGACGCAAAGCAGATTCCATTTTCTCAGTGACACGTTTTCTGATCACTTCTGGCTTGTTTCCAGCTCCTCTAGGGTCTGGCTGGCCCCCGCTATGAAACTCCACACCACTTTCATACTAGTAACACCGCGCATGCGCCAACCTCCCCTGAAGCTTGATCCTTCTCCAGCTGCAGCTCTGGGAGGGCCGGGGTGAGTCTCCCTGTTCCCCAGTCTGTGAACAATTGGTCCATGGGAAACAGTGTTGCTTGAAAAGATGGTTGGATGAAGAAATGACAAGTACAGTGCCTGGATTATAAGATATCAAGGTATGATACATATTTCCCAAACTACAAGTATTGAACAAGATTTCCTTATCAGTTGCCCCTTAGATAACAATCCATTCAAAAAAGCTAACAGAGATTTATCTATGTCTGACACAAGCAGGGCCATTCACATACAGATCACAGCTGAAATAAGTTGCCCAAATCCCAATGCTAGTTTGGAGGTACAGGGTGCCGAGTGCCAGGACATTCCAGCCTCACCAGAATTCATTTCAGATTCAAGCAACGCTTCGGTGTGGGGCAAAAGGGCTCTCGGGGACAGCAGTGGAAGGAAGCGGGGCAAATAGAAAAGTTACGGATTGTGGGATAAGGGTGTCTTGACCGTTCAGGAGATTCCTAGTAAGCAAACAATTTTAAAGAGATAACAGAAGATGTTAAAAGGTCCTGCCCCTAGGGTCAGGCGGGTCATCTCAAAGCATCAAGCTTCCACACCCGGGGGAGTCAGGTTCCGGTGGGATGCCTAGGGCTCCTGCCGCCCCACACGCTCGGTCTGAGGGAGGGGCTAGGCTTCGAAGGTCTTCCAACAGCGCAGCAAAGTGTCTGCGGTGGCTCTGCCGGTGAGGACACGCGTCCGGGTCACCAGAGCCAAATCGAGTTTGGGATTTTGCCGGTCCCGCAACCCGGGATGGTGTGGCCGCATCCCGCGCCCCTACTCACCTGCTTCTCGGAGCCACGTCCATTTCCCCCTTTGCTTCTGGCTCCCGAAGGCATCTGCGTGGCTAACGGGTTCCAAGGCTCACCAGGAGAGGAGACGGGGTGGTATGATAGTGTCGCCGCCCTGCCCTGGGGGTGGGGTAGAAGTGGAGGGGTGCAGAAGAGCCGATCTCGTCCCCGCTAAGCCCCCGGGATCCCTCGGGAGCGCCGCACGGCGGGTGACTGGGGCCAAGGGAGGAAGGGGCACGCAGCGTGCAAAACTTTGGGTCCTCCAGCGGCGGCTGCGGGAAAGGCCACCTTTACTTCTGCCGGGGGTCGCTCCAGTTGCGGGGCTGCCTGCTGGGCAGGGCGGCGTTGCGCAGCATCCCGGTTCGGGGAGACCCTGCCGGGCGGAATCCGCACGTCTGCTTTTGGCCTCCGCCCTGAGCTCCGCCAGCCCCGCGGCGCGCTCTCCTTCCTCCCCGCGCACTCCGCGCCTCCCTGGCGCCCCCAGCGGCCGCGCGCAGCCCAGCAGCGCCGGGCAGGGCCGAGCGCGCCCCGCCTCCTCCTCCTCCGCCGCCCTCCTCCCCTCCGCAGAGCACTCAATGTCGGAACGTTCCGAAGATGACGTCGGAGCGTTCTCGAATCCCGTGTCTCTCGGCTGCTGCTGCCGAAGGAACAGGGAAAAAGCAACAAGAAGGAACAGCAATGGCGACACTGCACCGCAAAGTGCCCAGTCCGGAGGCGTTTCTGGGCAAACCCTGGTCCTCCTGGATCGACGCCGCCAAATTACACTGCTCCGACAGTAAGAACCCCACGGCCTGTTCCTCCTTTTATTATCCTGTAACCTTTCCATTCACCTAGAGCCATTGGGAAAAAGTGTGTGTGTGTGAGAGAGTGGCCCCCGGCGTCCTCCATGCTTCTCCCTCTCTCTCTAAATAAATACACACAGACACAGACCATCAGAGCACAGGGAGGCCCGGCAGCCAGCAAGGCTGTCTGCCTGTCTGTGTCCGGCTCCCTAGGGGCAGGCAGCCCGCGGGGTGGGCTTTAGCAGCCTCACAGTGGTATCTGTTTAAAAGGCGACTCTGTTGCTGCTTGCTTAGTTTTTTTGGTACCTATCTGGGCCAGGTAGATGGAAACCCGGACTCGAGAGAAAATGTTGCATTGTCAATTTTTGCAAGATTTTCAGATACAGTATTTATATTGATCTGTTTGCCAATAAACATTCTCCCTCCCCCCTTGACTTTGGCTCCCCCCCCTTTTTTCCTCATTTTCTTTTTTCCTTTTCTTTTTCATCTGCAGATGTAGATTTAGAAGAGGCTGGAAAGGAGGGTGGCAAGAGCAGGGAGGTTATGAGGCTTAATAAAGAAGGTAAGTGCAGCTCTTGGCATTTTAGTGCTAGCTTGTGTGGCAGTCTTCACAGGCTTTGGAATATGATGTGAATTGTTCTGCTGGGTACAGAGTGACTAAGGCTTGTCAAAAATTGAGCACGCCCCGGTGACTACTGCTTCCCTGCTAACTTCCTTCGGAGTATAAATACAACTGGGGTGGGGGGTGCAGGCTGGGGGAGGATGGAAGGCAGGGGTTTACCGCACTCCACTGGAGTCCATGTCTGAGACCCCTGATGGTATCAGCCATTCTCCTTGGAGCACCATTGGCCGATGGTGGTGGTAGAGTTTGAAATCCCCAAGTGGGTCATGGGGCACCCTTCACTAGCATTCCAGCCCCCTGTGTGTAAATTCTCAAGTTTTGATGAACCCCACATGGCCAGTCATTCCAGCAGCCACTTCTCCACTCTCACTGAAAACCACCCGTATGGCGAACCTTGGCTGCAAGTGACACTTTGTGTCTGGTCGCAGATTGTAGGGGCATCGATATGTGCAGATCCGTAGCCTGCAGGTTCCTCCCGATCTGTGCTTCACAGCATGCAACTATGACACCTGAAAGGGGACCCCGTGAATAGACAGACAGCTGGGATCTGGGCCTGTGAGGGAAGCCCATACTGCCATATCTGGGCATCACATACCTGCGGTTGTATTCGTCGTTTTGCTGTTTGCAGGCCTACCGTTTGGCACTCTGGCTTCTGGCTTCGAATGAAGTACTCTGGAGGCCACTTTCTGCTTGAAGAAAAGATAGGTTCATTAGAATTGTGATGCCCTCACTGGAGTCTCATATACACAGCTGGCTGAAGTTGGTGGTGGGAGAAAGGTTCCAGGGCCTGAAGAGATCAGTGAGAGGTGTCAAAAAAGTTCAGACATAACTTGACTGTAGGAGCATTGGCTCATCCAGGATGAATGGAGAAAATGCCTTTGACCTTACAGACTAGTCCAATGGCGACAGGGGGTTTTGCCTGAAAAGGTGGATGGGATCTTCTTGGAAAGGTGGACCTCACTTTGTGGACTGACATCCAAGATTGTTAGTTTTCAGTGCCCACATCAATTCTTGACTGTCCAGCGAGGAAAATGTGTTCTTCCGGAAAGAATAAAGTGGAGGTTAGAATGCAAATTCAGGGGTGGTCCTCTAGCTCCATCCATGTGTGTGCTAACGTACTAAGTACATGGAGAACAAAACATTAGTCTAAAGATGTTTGTCTCTAAACATCTCAGTGCGATTTTTGACGTGTGTATTTAGGACGCACGCAGGAGGGAATGGTGTCAAGTGGGCTCCTTACAAGTGGCAGTTTCCTTGTGCGAATGTCCATGTGTGTTGGTAGTGGAAAGGGATCCCAGAAAGCTCTTGAACCACTTAGAAGGCTGAGCTCTCAGACCACCAGCTTTGTTGAGAGGTGAAGGTGCAAAAGCCCGTATGTTAAAGCTGATGAAAGGCTGTGGCGTGCTGGGCCTGGCACCTGGCAGGCCAGGATGGTGAATTGGGACCACAATTTGCAAAGCTCAGATTCTCCAGCCACTGCCGTCTATTTCAAAATGCTCTTGTTCTCTTTGCTGCATGAGATTCTTTTAAGGGAAAATGAAAACCTCTTCTTCCCTCAGAAGTCACAGATATTACATCTTGCTTATTATGTCCTCTGTCCTGGAAAGGTACAAAGACTTTGCTTCTAATTGAATGCACCTTCATGGGGGACACCCATTGTTCTGTGTACCTTACAGCTGGGTTATATGGTGACACATGGGCTTCCTCTTTGTTGTGGACCTGATGGAGTGTCCTTGGGCGAGAAGTTGAGAGGTTCCTGAGGTTGTCCTGGTGTATGAGCGTAGCTTTCCTTATAGAAAAAAAAAATATGTACAACAAATACATGTTCCATGGTAAGAACTTCTGGGTTGGGCTGGACCTCTGTGTCAGAGTATTTGGTCACATTGGGCCTCCTTGTTAGAGCCATCAGGTGGGAGGCCTTAGGGTGCGTAGGTATTTCTGGAGGGTCATTTGCAGGACATAAAATGGCCCTTGTAACTCTGGGGATCTGTGCTTATGAATATAAATGACTGGATTGGTTGGCTAGAAGCAAGTCTTGAGATGAAGTATGGTAATAAATGAATAAAAGTTTAGGGTTGGAATTGAGAAACGGCAGGAATGACTGTTGTGGTGCCAAATATATAACATAAAATTTACCATTTTAAGCCCCTCTGAGTACACAGCCCAATGGCATTTATGCCACCTCTCTTCATTTACCGCCTTTGCACCACCTCCACCAGGCACTCTGGACTGATGCACAGTCCCTTGATGGGGGACGCCCTTCTGCGCGCATGTAAATACAGTATGTAAATAAAGCACTGCTGGCCAATGGGTCTCTGTCCTGGCAGCCTCTGTTCTCATCATGTCCCTGTGAAGGTCCCTGCTCTAGGTTCCTGGCGTAAGCTGAATCACACGATACCTTTTGTGTTATCTTCTTCCTCTTGTGTTTTCAGAATTCGTCCGTGTTGTGTGATATATTCATACGTTCCCTTTCAGGGTAGAGTTCCATTATATCTGCCACTCATCCACTGGCTATATGGGTCACTCCCATCTTTTGACTATTGTGAATACTGCGTCTCTGAGCATTGGTGTGATGCAGTCGTTTTAGACTGAAGTCAGAGAGGGAAGTTGGGCTGGAGATATGAAATAAGAATCATTTGCCTTCTGAGCTTTCTCATCGCTGCTTTGGGCAATACCGTAGGCGCTAGCAGACTTTTTGAATAATCTGGTAGCTGCAGTATCATTCCCTGTGCATCCCTTGTCCCACTAACCTTCCCGTGCTCTCTTCCGTCACCTACGTTGAGTAGCAACTGCCCGATGAGCTGAAGTCTCCATAGAGTCTTTACATCAGCTTTCTTGTTCCCTCTAAAATTATAGTTACAAAGCCTTCAGCAAAGGTATTTGGATTGTACCCTGTTGCTAATTCCTTTTTGGCCTGGGCTTTGTGAGGCTTTTCTTAGAGGAGCTTCCTGCAAGACAAACCAGGGAGATGTGGGAGCCAGCTTCCCACTTAGGCCCTGGGAGAGCTCTTCCGGACTGTAACAATCTGTAACTGCCCACCACAATCCCTGTGAGACCTGGGGAGACCTGTACCCAGGTCTCGCTGTTACTGTCCCTACCTTTAATCACACTGAACAACCTGCCTCTAAAGAAAAGTTAAAAAGAGAGGAAAAAAAACCCAACAACAACAAAAAACCAAACCAAACACCAACAACAATGAAATACATGAAAACCCCTCATATTAAAAACAACAACAACAACAAAACAATCTTAAATGACTTCAGAAATATTGAGAATAACTGGGTATATTTTCTCGGTTTTTAAAAGTTTATGTCAATGGTGACAAAAATAAGTATAGTCTGCTTACTAGAAACAGTTGTGAATGGTTTGGGGTCTTCAGGGCTGAGTGCAGACCCCAGGAGAATTGAGGGGCTGAGTGTCATAAGCTTTCCTCAGAGGAGGTTCTCAGGAACCTTGCTGGTGCAATCTTCATGAGAACTGGATTACTGATAGAAAATTCCAAGGCAGGTTGGTTTTCTGTGCTAACTCTGTATTTCATACTATTCTTTCCTCCGCGTGGTAGGTGTCACCTGAAGACTTTGCCCACGAGAAAGTCTTACTCAGTTTGGTCTTGTCTAGGTAGAAGCTCCGCCCTAGCTTCCACACCTCCCTTCCAGACCCCGCCCCTCAGGAAGTCCCTCCCCCAGCTGATCAAGACCACACCTACAGGCTATTTAAGACCTACTCACCAGACCTGCCATGTGCTCTCTCTCCTGCCTTCCCCAGGGCTACCCAGAAGTGCTCTGCTCTGTTTGTTAAGCCGGGTTATTAATTTGTTTTGATTTGGCTTATTGCATTGGCAGAGGATACCCAATAACTGGGGATCCAGTACTTACCGGTTATCAATACTAAGGGCCTTACCCAATTTTTTAAAAAGAAATGCCAATCATAGACAAAGAATAGGGTCCAGGTGTCTCACAAGTACCCTTAACTATAAAACAGATGTTAGCAGGAAGTATGAATGAGATAATAGGAGAGAGCTCGGCATACAGCAGGTGCTGAGTGCATGTCGACTTTTATTCCTTTTTATTATTACGACTATTACCATCATTTATTATTGAAACTAGTTCGGTAAAATGATATTATTTTAATTACCATGAATTTTTAAGTGGTAAAAAGAAAAGACATACTGTATGAAGAACTTCATTTTAGAACACAGTGTGTTATAATTTTATGAAACTTAATGATTTAAAAACAATTTATGGCCGGGCGTTGGTGGCGCACGCCTTTAATCCCAGCACTCGGGAGGCAGAGGCAGGCGGATCACTGTGAGTTCGAGACCAGCCTGGTCTACCGAGCGAGTTCCAGGACAGCCTCCAAAGCCACAGGGAAACCCTGTCTCGCAAAACCAAAATAAATAAATAAATAAATAAATAAATAAATAAATAAATAAATAAAAATAAATAAATAAATAAAAAATAAATAAATAAAAACAATTTATGTGGACATAGCATTTTTCATGGAAGTGGGTTTTGTCAAAAGCAGAAGAAAAATACTTAGGCAGTTCATGGCTTCAGAACATGAGGAGTTGATTTTTAATTTTTTTCTCCTTTCTGGTGGCTTCTGAGGTCTACAAAAAATACATTTAAAACGATAAGTTGTTTCATTTATTATGGAGAAAATTGGGTCCTCTGAGGACATTCGGAACCCTGTACTTGGGCCCGAGCGTGTTTAAGGTTCCCAGGGCTCCTTTGGGAAGGTAGATGTGAAGCGTGAGTGAGCTGGACAGAGGAAGCCTTCCGGGAAAGGCCGAGTGCTCCCGAGACGCTGGGGGGGGGGGGCGGGGATGCAGGAGCCGACTCTGCCGGGGTCCCAGCTGGAAGGCAGCAGCTGGCTGGGAAGATGCTGTGTTCTCCCCCGCAACCAGGGAAGCCAGAGACCAGCCTTGGAGATGTATGGGA